TCATGGGAGGGAGGGAATATTTAACTGGGACCCAAAGAAACAGGGAGAAGGAATTAGAGAAAGACACAAGACACAAGAGAGGGAGACAGAGACAGAGATGGAGAGAGATGCAGCAGAGACAAGAGGAGATAGAGCTAAATAAAGAGAGACATCCACTCAGAGATGTGTAGATGGAGAAAAACTGCGAGAGACATGGAAAAACCCAGAGAAGCAGGAAATAGAGGTTCAGAAGAGAGTTAGCAAAATACAAAGAGAATGAGATAGAAGGTCAGAGGGAGGAGCAAAGAGATTAAAAAAAAAAAAAAGCAGAAACAGTCCAATGAAGGAGACAGAAACATGCCTGAGGCAGACACAGAGGTGGTAGCAAAGAGGAGGAAGTGATCCAAAGGGGTGGGGGACCTGACCAAGCCTTGTGGGCAGCCAACACAACTAATACTTTCCTGACAGACTAGCCTGGTCTCTTTTAACCCCAACGAGTCTCAATGGTGATGATTACAGCTAAAACTTACGGCACTGACTCTGTCCCAGGTATCTGCTAAGTACTTTCACACATCTCACCTAGTCCCACAATAGCTCTACCCAGGGTTAGTGCAACTGTCATCTCTGTTTACAGAGAGGTAGACTAAGGCATTCTGATGGCTTTAGTCACTTCTCAAGGTCACCAACTAGGAGCCAGGATTCAACACCTAGGTTCCAATTCATCATTTTAACTCTTCCACTCCCATGAGAGAGAGAGCAGGGGACTTTTGGGATGTGGCCCCCAAATTTGGAGAAGTGAAAGTTCTTACCCTGGAGTTCAAAGATTGATGGAAGGAGCCTATACATGCCCTGAAATGGTCGTGCAATGTGGGGCTCCATCGTACATACCAGAGAAACTGTGTTCAAGTATTTTGGATTCTTAAACAGTGCAGCACTTATTTATTCCACACATGGTTATTATAAACCCTACTATGTGCCGGGCACTGTTCTGGAAGATGGAGGGTCTATGGGGACCAAAGCAGCAACCACAACAGCAATGTACAAATCAGTGAGAACCCCAGCTTTCATGGAGCTGTCATTTGGGCAGGAGGAGACACTGTTTGATGGCTCCTGGAGTGTGTCAAGACTGCCCTGACCTCAAGACCTTTGTCCTTGGTGTTCTCTCTGTGTCCTACAATTTAACTCACTTCTGACACTATCTACCCAGAAATAACATCAGATCCCACAGGTGAAAGGCTCATTCCCACAAGACTGCCCCTGCACGTCAGATGCCAATCACAAGTAGTAGGTCTCCAGGTTACTCACAACTTCTGTCTGATTTGTCTACTAATCAGAGGTTCCCATGAACCCCTCTTCAGTTTTCATTAATTTGCTAGAGTGACCCACAAACTCAGGGAAACATACGGATAAACAATCAGAGGAACAGATACATAGGGCACGGTCTGGGCAGGTCCCCAGCACAGGCGTTTCTGTTCCTACAGTGTTGGGATGAGTCACCCTCCCGGTGTAAATATGTACACCCACCTGGAAGGTCTCCAAACCTCATATTATATTATGGAGGCCTCCTCACATTGGCATGATCAACTATTAATTCCATTTCCAGTCCCTCTTCCCTCTCATGAGGAGGGAGGGGCTGAAAATTCCAAGGCTTGTACTTTCTGGCGACCAGCCCCCCATCCAGGAGCCATCCAGGAGCTCACCTAAGGTCACCCCATTAGAACAAAAGATGCTCCAAGTGCTCTTATCACTTTGGAATTTATAAGGGTTTTAGGAGCCCTGTGTCAGGGCTGGGGTCAAAGATAAATATTAGAACAAGAGGTGCTCCTAGTGTTCCTATTACTAGGAAGCTACAAGGGTTTTAGGAGTTCTGGGCCAGGAATCAGGAGGCGAATTCCAATGCATGTATTTTCTATTATTTCACAACATCACAGCTTAACTTCTCCCTCTGCCCTCTCCCTGTTTCTCCTCTTCCTTCGAGATGGGTTGGTTACTCCTAACAGCACTCCTTAATAAATATGCTGCCCACTGCACTCCATCTCAGAGTCCGCTTTCCACGGAACGTAACCTGCAACAGCCACAAACCGCACAAAGACAGTCATCTACATAAATAGAAGTAGCCTCGCAATTAACATGCCGATTGCTCCTGCATGCTGATCCCATAAAGTCATAAGGAAGTGTCTCAGAATGCTGAGACCCGAGGGAATGATCTCGGTAAAGCTTCCTTATCAGATGGTCTTGGAATGCTGAGTCCATCTCCTGGGGTCGCGTGTGTGTGTGTGTGTGTGTGTGTGTGTGTGTGTGTGTGTAAAGGCACAGTAGTGCTGGAAGCACACTGGAGCTTCTGGAAGACAGTTGCTAGGTGCACAGACTTAACAGATTGGAATTTATTGCCTTGTAAATTTAGAGAATAAAAGCTTTGTACCTGTCTAATTTGGGGCTCAGTCCTAGAGGCTTGAGACCCATGGCTCGCGTGAACTCAATACTTGGCTCTTGTATTTCTTAACCCTGCACCACTTGTTTTATACTCCCCAGCCCTTTGTTCCACTGGGAGAGTGCCCCACCTTTGTGAATGGGTCCAGATGTACCTTCAGGACTTGCCTACCACCTGCTGGCTGCTGTGTGTCTGTCATGTTCTGTGGTACTTCCATTTCATACACCAGAGGGAACCACAGGAAAAAGGTAAAGGGGGGTTCTGAGACCTGGTACAGTTTTGGGAGCTCCTAAAACCACTAAGACTCTTCAGATTCCACCAAGGTTCCTTGGCCTGGACTGTGATGTCCCAAGAGTCTCTGTAGATTCAGGTGATCCCAGGTGAACTGTGCTGTTTTGTTTGTATATCTTTAGTAATGTAAACTGTAAAGCAATACCAAATAAGAGCTGAGACTGGGTAAACGGGATATCTATGATGCAAATGGAAGCTTGATCATTAACATGCAAACAAATTTGCTGGTTGACTACAGCTGACTTGCATCTGCCTGACCTATTTCACCAGATAGGGGTATGAGCATTGTATGTGCTGTAGCCAGCTCAGGCTGCTATAACCAAAGACCATAGATGAGGTAACTTAAACAACAGACATTTACTTCTCACAGTTCTGGAGGATGGGAAGTCCAAGATCAAGGTGCCAGATGATTTGGTTCTTGGTAAGGGCCAACTTCCTGGTTTGCAAATGGCTGCCTTCTCCCTGTATTCTCCTGGTGGGAAGAGGGCGTTCCAGTGTCCCTTTCTCTTTTTATAAGGGCACTAATCTCATTATGGGGGCTCCATCCTCATGGATTCATCTAAACTTAGTTTCCACCCAAAAGCTCCATCTCCTAATACCATCACATGATGATGGTAGTGGTGGTGGTGGGGTAGGGCTTCAAACTATTAATTTTGAAAGGACACAAACAGTACACCATCTTTATTTTCTAATTAATCACTTGAGACTTCACATGCCTGTGTTAGCAAAAACCCAGTATTTACCTCTCCTTCCCAAATTGTCCAGGAATCCAAAAGTTTACTCTCAGAGGTATCAGCTTTGATCTCAGAAGTCAAGCAGAGAGAGAGCAGAATTTTCCCATGGGTTCATATCTGCCTTTACTCCTATGGGGAGTGAAAGTGGGTATTGCCAGGATAATGCCTCTTCTTGTTGCATCAGTCAGGCTCCAGCAGTGCATAGATGGCACACTAGCAGAACTTTACCAATGGGAGGTTACTGGTGGACCCATCTACAGATATGTATGCAAGGCTAGGAGAACCATCAAGGGCTGGTGAAGTGCTTAAGGGAGTAAATACCAGGAGTGAGATCATTGGGGTCACCTTGAGTCTGGCTACTACAGCACCCTTTTGCCCACCTACCACTGCCTTGCTTCTGACCTACAATATGGAGATGGTGGTGGAAACTCCAGGAGCTGTCTTGAGCCATGAGGTGATTGTGTAAATTGTATTAGAGTTCAATCAGGGAAGAAAACTCCATGAGTGTTATGGAATAAAGAATTCATAATAGGAGTTGGACCTTACACAATGGTGGGAAAGGCTAGGAAGATACAGATTTGAACAGGAAACCAAAGGATCAGAGAAGGCCACTAACCAGACCTGGCACAGATGAATGAGTCAGAACTTGCAGAAATTTGGGAGCTAGGCACAGCCTCTGTTACAGAAAGACCATGAAGGGGGCCGATGAGGATTTTCTCTGGAAGACTGCCAGCTTTTTGGGCCACCACCCCTCTGCGTTCACAATGGAGTATCTGCTGGTGGTTTGGGGACATGAGACTCAATCAAGGGTGGTTTAATTAGCTGTAAAGCAGCAATATATCCCAAATAGTGCAGTTCTTTGTCAACCTCAAAATGTTTCTGTCAAGTGCCATGTGTTTTTGTAGACTGAAGAATAATTTGTGAATTGTAAAGCCTTGTGTACCCGGAGCATGCTTTGTAAACCATAAAGCACCTCACCATCAGTGGTGTCTTGTAAATTATAAAACAGTTCATGAGAAAAAAGTATCTTCTAAACCAGGGGTTGGCAAACTGCGGCTCACGAGCCACATGAGGCTCTTTGGGTACGTTCCGTTTCAAAAATTTGCCATCCCCTGGAAGAGCCAATCTTGTCCCTCACAACAACTTAAAAATTATTCAAAAGTCATAAATATATTTTTACATGATCACCATTATGTGAATAATATCCTTTAAAATTTTTATAAATGAAACTATGATAGTTTTATTTTCATTTTCAGTTTTACTTCAGAGCCCGCGGGTCCCAAGCCACAGTTTGCTGACCCCTGGCGGGTCTTTCGTCTCAAAAGTTTGCCGATCCCTGTTGTAAACCATAAGGTCCTTCATTGAATTTAAAAAAAAAGTGTAAACTGTAAAGAATTTTGTCAACCTCAACGAGCTTTGTCAGTGACAAAGCTTTATTTTAAATTACGAATCCCTAAAGGGGTGGGCTTTTTATTTTTCAGACTAATCAGGAAAAAACCACCTTCCAGCATGGTTTCGGAGAATGTCACCCTCCCTGACACCCACTCACCATAAGCCCAGCTTACCTAAGACATCAGGGTTCTTAAGAAAAAGTAGAAGGGCACGGCAGAGAGTGGTGCTAGAGATCTCTGTGCCAGCAAATAACAGCTGGACCACCGTTTGGTCTTATAGTGGAACTCACTCTCAGGATCAGGGCGCTCCTGGAATAGTGATGGACAATCCTTAAAATCTCCCCTTGCAGAGGTTTCCAGTTCCTGGGTATTTCCTACTTGCCCAAACCCATGTTACTCTGTGCCAGTTTTTCTTTTTCTTGTTTCCATTTTTCTCTATTGAAGTCCAGCAATGTAGCAAAAGGGTGGACTTTGGAGCCAGACTACCTGGGATCAAACTCGGGTCCTACCGTTTATTAACTCAGTGTCTTTGGGCAAGGAACTGACCTCTCTGAACTATAGTTTACCATCTGAGGTTGTTTTGATATTCTGTATGTAAGCGCTCAATAAACATTAGGGATTAACATTTTGTTTTTATTATCTTCTCTGTCCTTGGTTGTCTTTGTTGCTCTGATTGGCGCTTGCAGGTATTATTACAAGGGAGACATTGAGGATATTTAACAACCTGTATGGAGTTAGACCAATCAGAAAGACATCAGCCTCCAACCAATCAGAACTGACATGGGCCTCTGACCAATCAGAACACACATGGGACTCTGACTAATCAGAATGGGGGTGGGAGAGCAGGGTCTTTAAGGCCCCATGCTGGGTCAGATGTCAACACTTGAATTTCTATCTCTTATAGGCATTCCAGGACAAGGGTGTGTGTAGGGAGGCTCAAGAAGAAAAGGGGAGCAGAAGGATTGAGCCAGTGGCTTTCTTACCAACCTTAGAGAAGTATTTCAATATTGAAACAACACACACACAAAAACCACACTAGCTCAATGTCAGAAGTGTGTCCATCACTCTCTTTCCCATCACCCACCTCCAATCCAGCAGAGTCCTTGCCTTGTTCATGAGGAGCAGGAAGGAATCAATGAAGTTCTTTGAGACACTGGGGTCCAGTGTTTCCCAGTACCTCTGGATGATGTCAGTAACAAATTCGTCCACTTCTTGAATGAGGCTGGTTAATCAAGTGTGGGTGCCAGGGAAGTGTTTCAAGATGCAAAAGGAGTTCAAACACCTAGAGGGAAGCAGAAAAAGCCCCAGAACCTGTTCCAGTCTCTGGGCTCGTGCTGTGGGCGTTGAGGTTGTACACGGCACACGGCAACACCTGAAGGGTGCCATTCACCCCAGGATTTGGGGAGTGAGCCTCCCAGCTGAGCAGACCCAAATGCACACATTCACACCCTCTGTGGTGCATGAACAGCTGCACCCTGTCCCAGTCACTCTTACATCCGCTGAGATTTCTTCTCTCATGTCCACCCTGGTAGAAGACCAATTGTTACCTCCAATCTGACTCATTACCTCACCTGACAGGGTGCAGGGGGTGAAGTGTGTGCACAGAAAACCAACCTCTCGATGGAAAACCAACCTCTCGATGGCTTCTTGCTTTACAGTTCAGGACAGAAAGCATCTGATCCCTTCCTGGGGGCCACCCACCCTGATTCCTGGCCACCATGGAATCCATAAATTCACCTGGCTGTAGAAAGAGCTGATAATGGTGAAGATTTCATTCAGTAAATTTAGCAGCCATAAGAATCTGGGATCCTGGTAATTAATGCGCACTCCAAAGACAATGGAGCAGATGATATTGGCTGTGATGGAGTTGAAGAGGGAGGTAGGATTCAGATAGGCCCCTGGGGAGAGAGGGTCTGTGAAGTGGGGTTTCCTGCATTGCCCTCCTGGGTGGCTCTGACCTGACTGGTGCAGTCTTAACCTGTTCAATTGGTTTCTTTTTCTCTTGGCTAGCCTGGCTTTCACTGGCCTCTGCATCTCAGCTTTCCTTTCTGGGATTTGCCCCCTCTGTGACTCTTGTTTTCCTTGGTCTTCTCTATCTTGGTCTGACTTTTTTGGTGCAGTGGTGTCTGTCTGTAGTCTTGTCTCTGACTCCTTTGAGACTCAGCCCCTCCTCTGTGCTCTCCCTTTTCATGCCCCCATCTGTCTCTGCATGCCTTCTCCTTGTCCTCTGTGTCTCCCTGACCCTATTTCTACCTTTACCATTTTCATCCTTGGACTTCTCTTTGCAGCCTCAGCTTCTGGATCGATCTATATCAGTGGGCTCATGTTTTCTGTCTTGTTTTCCCTCTGTCCCTGTTTTCTGTGTCTGTCTCTCTGTCTTCATCATTCTCTGTTTGTCTCTGTCCCCTTCTCCCTGTCTCTGAACCTGTCTTAGCATGTCTCTGTCTCTGTGTCTGGGTCTCTCCATCAGTCACATTCTCTCACTTCCTCCCTGTCCCCATCTCACCTTCCCCTCGTCTATGCCTCCACCCCCTGCCCTGGCACCTCCACTCACCCTGGGATTTCTGACGCTCCTCCATCAGACATTGAGCCTCCTCCTAAAATCACTTCTCAGTTCTCCACTTCCCCATCCCAAAGTCCCAACGGTGGCCAGAGAGAATCGCCTAAGGGCCTTCCAAGAATTTCCACTGGCGAAGACCACACCTGATTGGTGGGGTGTGGCGGGAAGTTTGGAGGATGCATGGGATGTTCCCCGTTTCTGTCCCCAGTCCCCATGCTGTCCCCCACTCACCAGTCCCCTGGAAGATGGGGTCAACAATGGCGATGTGCCCTCAGCCAGGAAAAGCCTCAGCCTGATCCACCGGGGCCCCCCTTAGCACCTCATACCCACACAGGATGATGACTGGCTGGGACCCCAGGAAGACCCTGACGACATCCCCATATTTCTTCCATAGCTGTGGGGTAGGATCCAGGTCTCACTCCCTTACTCAACAGGAGGGTCTCTATGCTCACACCTGGGTCACACTTCCAGTGTGGTTTAAACCCCACTAGCTGTAGCCCCATCTAGGAAGAACAGAGATTTGAACTTGATCGCCCCCCATCCTCCCACACAGCCTTCGCCCCAAGTGTCCTCCTCTCTTGGCTTTTCCAGGAACCCTCCCAGCTTCTATTTTAAGAATTGCAGAGACTCCCCACATCTGACCCCTAGTCCCTCTCCCTCCCAAAGCAGAAAATCCACAGCTCAAAGCCTCAAATCTATCAGAATTTCTCTCTCCAGTCTCCCTTTTTTCTACTCCTACTCATAGAAATTCCAGAAGCTTCTCTAGTGAACACATTGGCCAGATTGTAGCTGAAAGAAAATAATCCCCAAACTGACCTGCAAAATCCCTTCAACAGTTTGATTCCCGACTGCCTTGCTGCCCATGAACTTTTCCCATCCACACACCTCCTGCTTCCCACCCCTTCCCCCTCTTTTTCTCACTGCGTGGAAGGACTTGAGAAGGTCCTCGCGGTCTATTTGCAAAATGTTCCCCAGGAAGAGCAGAGGCCGGGGTCCAGGAGGGAGGCAGCCCTGGAAGGTGGGGTGGCCCCAGAGTAGCAAGAGGCCTATGAAGACCGTGAGGAGCAGGATGGCCCAGAGCGCCATGGTCCTCACTGTGCCTGCCTTCCATCTGCTCTCCCTAATGTGCTCTGTTGTTGGTTGTTTTTTCTTTCTTTCTTTCTTTCTTTTGTTTGCTGGGGAAGGTATGCCAAGAATCTTCCTCAGCATAGCTCTTAGAGCCTTCCCAGAGGCTACAGGAATCCTAAAACTGGCAGTTGCCACAGAGGCCAGAAGGTTTGGCGTCTTTGTTGGGTCACACAGACACCTTCCCATCGAGCCCTGGCTGGGTTGAGGTGTCTTAGTGGGCAATGCCCTTGAACAAAGAGCACCTCCCTCAAGAAAGAGCAGTGTTCCAGCTGGTGGGACCTGTGAAGGCTGGTTTTATGGTTTTTGCAAGGGTGGCTTTCAGCCAGTTTTGTCATAGGGTGGCATTGCACGTGACGGATCAAGAATAGCTGGCAGGCAGAATTGGGAAATCCTTTGCCCTCTGAAATCAGATGCAAGTGTTTGGGTGGATGTGCCTTGAACATTTTTCCAGGAGAGAGCTTGTAGCTTCTGTTGATTTCCAAAACGTTCAGTTGTCCCCACAGAGTCTAAAAATCCTCACCTTTTTGGGTGTGTGTGCACATGCGAACGCATGCTTCCGCATGTGACGTGTAGGTGTGTGCATAGTGCTGCCTTAGCATTAGATGAATGATACCTATTTCATAGGCCTGCTGTGAGGTTAAAGAAGTGAATATTTGTATAAATTCTTAGGCTAGCACCTGGTCCATACTAAGGACACTATAGGTTTAGTTAAGTACTTTGTGTTTTATTCTCATTGTGTGCGGTGGGGAGTTTGTGTGGTGTTTATGTCACGAGTATGATTGTCTATCTCTGAGTTGTTTTCTTAGCTGAGCCTGAGAGAGTCACGGCTTCAAAAGTTCTGAAAAGCCCAAATTAGACAGAAAATTTTGAATAGGACTGATGTATAATACATGAGATGAGAGTCTATGGCTGCCATCACATTCTCAGAGGTGTAAGCACCCTGCACCCCAAAACTACCACCCCCTTCAATAAGATGTAAACCACTGGCTTGGAGAGAAATGAGGACACATGGGGCTCAGGCAGACACACAGAGAGCCTCTCCCTTTACTTGGTGGTTCTTCATCTGCAAGCTGACAACCTTGGAAAAGCCATTTCAAGGGTGAATTTCCAGGCAGTTCCTAGACTTGCAAGTTGTCAGATATTGTGTGTGTGAAGGTATCTGGGGGAGGGTCCATATTTTTGGCACATCCAGAAATTAGGAAACATGAGCTCAGAAATCCTGGTGCAGGGCTCTGGGCTGGTTCCTCTCCTGTAACCAGCTCTATGACCCACCTCTTTCCAGAACAGCCTGTTATCTCCTTCCCACTCTGTTCTCCCATCCCTGGAGCTGCCCTTAGGATACGCTTTAATATATCTTTGGCTCGCTCACCTTTGTGGCTAGGCTTGTCTCTCTGCCCATAGCAGTCACCTCAGTCTTTTCTCTGACCCCCTGTCAGGCACTGGTTCTCTCTCCTTCTCTTATTCTCTTCTTTTCTTTTTTTCTGCTTTCCTCAATCTTGTTTGACTCCCCATGTCTATCTATTTGGGTCTGTTTCTGTCTGCAACTCTTTCCCTCTCATGTTTCATCTCCCTCTACATCCCTTTTCCCTCCTGTACCATTTCTTCCTCTCTACTTATGTCCCTCCTTTTTAAAGAATCTCTTATTCTGCTTTTCTCCTTGTTCTTCCTCGTTTCCCTCCTCTTCCTCTTTCTCTTCCTTCTCCCTCTATTGTCTCACTGTCACTCCCATATCTCTCTCCATCTGTGTTTCTCTTGGTCCTGCTCTCTATTTCTTACTCTATCCTTATCTGTCTGTCTCTGTCCTTATTTCCCTCTCTCTCTCTCTCTCTCTCTCTCTCTCTCTCTCTCTCTCTCTCTCTGTCCAAACTTAGGACAAGACTATTGAATGAAGGAATTGACCATCACCCCACCACTCACATGTCCCCAAACTCTCACTTAAGATGAAATGAGAAAGGAGGACATTGCATTGGGCAGAGCCAGGGGCCTTGGGACACTAAAGTCGCTTACACATCTCAAGACTAGGAACTTCTGGGATCTTCCTGTATTCCCCAAAATGAAGACCCTGGGCTTGGATTTTCTGTGGATGGGGCCAAAGGGTACAGAATAGGGACAAGCCGAGGCATGTCAGGGACCCTCGCCAGCTTCTCAGTGCCAACAGGATAAATCCCAACTCCCCTCAGCTTTCAGGGCCGTCCAGCTGAGCTCTTCACCTCTGACCCCTTTTGTAATCTGCACCCCAGTCTCCCTGGACTCTTCTAGCTTCTCACATGTGCCATGCTGTCTCCATCTTCAGGCTTTGCCTTTGCTGTTCCCTGTGCCTGGAACACTCTTTCCAGCAGCTGATTGATATTCACCCATGAGGTCTTTAACATAGAAGCCAGTGCTTCAGGGTGAGCTTTTCCTCACCGACCAACCAGGAGTAGTCAGTACTTCCTGTTTTGTGCTCCCAAAGCTCCCTTTAGAGTGCTTATCACAGTTATGATTAATAATAATAATAACAATAATAATAATAACCCCAATGAGCACTTACTTTGTGCCAAGCAGTTCTAAGTACATTTCAGCAGTTCTAAGCACAGTTCTAAGCACATTGTGCCAAGCAGTTCTAAACCCATATAAGATCTAATTGTTAGATCTTATAATTAGATGTTATCCTGTGGTTATTTGATGACTGTCCATCTCCTCTGATGAACTGTAATTTTCCTGGGGCAGGATCTGTGTCTCCATGTGACGTGTCTGATGCATTATCTTTGGCTCCCAGTAAAGCATTGTGCTCAGATTAGTGCTCAACAGATATTTTATACTGAGGTGTAGAGAGGTTAACCTACTTGCCCATGGTCCAGCTTACCAAGATGTGCCATTGGGTAGGGATGTCACTTCTCAATGGTAGTAGTGAATATGACATGGGATAATGCAGGTAACAGAGCTGGGATGTACTAACTGCTCCATAAACAAAGACCTCTCCTTGATTGTCTCAAGGAGGGATGACACCTTCACTCTGGTGTCTGGGGAAGTGAGGATGGATCCAGCTTACCTAAGGAGAAGGGGATAAAAGCTTCATTCTTCTTTAGTGCCCCATTGGCATCCAGAAAGTGGTCAGGGTTGAAGGTGTCTGGTTTTTCAAAGTAACGTGGGTCATGGAGAGCAGAGCTCAGGATGGGAGATACTTCAGTGCCCTAAGGGACAATCACAAGATCAAAGATGTTGCCATTGACTTTCCGGCCCCCCTTTGCCCCCAAAATAAAAGAAAACAGGAGCCCTAATGATAAAACAACAAGATGCTAAATTAAGAGATTAAGAGAATCCAGGATCTTCACACAGGGGATATGTGGTTACCCTATTGACCTCACCTTTGGGATAATGTACCCTTGGAATTGAGTGTCTTTGGTGACTACGTGGGCCATACCCATAGGAGGAGGTCCCAGAATCTCTTCCTAGAGGCAATAGACAATAAACAATATAAAACATATATAAGCAAGGTGTCAGGTAATGAGTGTGTAACTAATAAAATAAAACAGAGTAAAATAATTTTAAGTAATTGGAAGGGTTACTTTAAATAAGTTGGCTCAAGGAATGACTCTCGTAAGGAGAGCATTTATGCAAAGTCTGGAAAATGAAAGAGAAGTCAGATGAGAAATAAAGAGAATTTCATGCTAGGCCAATCGCACATGAGCATCCCACAGGCTGGAGAGGGCTTGGTGATTTCAGAAAAGAAGTCTAGTGGGACTGGAGCAGGGTGACTGTTAGGGGGAGTGGCTGAAGATGGCACTGGAGAAGCAAGTGGGGGCTAGATCATAGAGTCTTATAAGCCATGGTAAGGAGTTTGGATTTTCATTTTTTGCTCATTCGCTCCACTCAAAAATTGAAATACAGGGAGGATGTGCTTGATTGGTGTAACTTGGATCATGGAACCAAGAGGAACATGCATGGGTATCTCAATTGATAATCCCCCCAAATTTTATGTCATTGGGGATGGCAAAATACCAGAAGCTAAAAATGGGTGCTGTTACTTGAAGGAGGGGAATGGAAGTTGGGAGGGCAAAATAAGAAAAAAAAAAGATATCCATTGTACTAATTCACTGGCACAAGAGCTCCACCCTCAATTTACCAGTGAGTAAAAAAACGTATTTCTTAACAGTAGCATTATTTGAAAATGATGTCAACGTGAATCTCTCTTCCTGGCTCTCTGTGATTCTGCCACCTCAACAGCTTTTGTACATTTGTTTCTCCCTCTGTCCGGGTGCCTTTCCTTCTTTTTCTACACAATGTCTTTTTTTCCTGAGCCAGATTCTTGAGAGAGATGTGTGGAAGTTCCCATTCCTTCAGAACTGGGAGAAAAGCCACACACCAGAAAGGCAACCAGTCCTCAGCACCACGAACAGCGGCCCTCAGCTCTTCCTTCCCATCCCAAACCTTTTTAACGTCATGGTGGATTTTAGATGTGCCCACAAATTCTTTGGCACTCCTCCAGTCCAGAGGTGAAGTCTAATTTCCCTTCACTTGACAATGGCCACTCTTATTGACTTGCTTCTATTTGAGTCTGGTGATTAAGGGTTTACTTGGGTTGTTGACTGAGGCCCACCCAGAATAATCTCCTTTTTGAGTAACCCAAAATCAACTAATTTGGGACCTCAGTTACATCTACAGTATCGCTCTGCTTTTGCTATGGTCTACTGGCTAGAAGCAAGTCACAGACTCTGCTATTTTGAGCAGAGAAAGATGTCTTGGAAGGATATAAATGAGTCATAGAATTCATTGCTGTTGATGATGCTGAGCTAAAGTTGATCTCCAACATTCTATCCTTCTTGCATCAGTCACTCAAGATTCAAAGTCCAAGCAGTATATACTTGATGAGTAAAGACTAGATCATATGTTGCCCTCTGGGTATATGGGGGCTGGGTCAGGGTAGAGCCTAAATTGTTCCCAATTTTTCACCCTCCAGTATGTGACTCTACAGCCCCTTCCTTTGCCGTGTAACTTTGTGGTTATCTTCCATTGTGGGCAGAACATATACCCCAATCCCACTGATGTTGGATTGACCATGTGACTTGCTTTAACCAAAGAGATACAAGCAAAGGCTTTAAATATGCCCATGTGTGGTAGCCACTTATGCTGCTGTCATTTATGTGAGGCGAGCTAGTCTTAGGTAGCTGCTTCCCCCATCAGCTTCGATCCCAGATTGAAGGATCTGAAACTTTCAGCTGGATTCAGGTCTTAACTAACATATTTTTAAATTCAATTTATTGGGGTGACACTGGTTAATAACATTATATGTTTCAAGCACACGGTTATATAATACATCACCTATATGCTGCATTGTGTGCTCACCACCCAAAGTCTTGTCTCCTTATGTCATCATATATTTGACCCTCTTTACCCTCTTCATACTCCCCCCACCCCCTTCTTCTCTGGTAACCACCATACTGTTGTCTGTGTTTATGAGTTTGCTCGCTTGTTACTATCTGTTTTGTATCCCACATATGAGTGAAATCATATGTTTCTTGTCTTTTTCTATCTTATTTGCTTCACTTAACATGATACTCTCAAGATCCATCCATGTTGTCACAAATGGCAATATTTCATCATTTTTTGTGGCTGAGTGATAGTCCACTGTATATATGTACTACATTTTCTTTAACCATCAATCAAAGGACACTTACGTTGTTTCCATGTCTTGGCTACAGTGAATAATGCTGCAATTAACATATGGGTATATACGCCTTTATGAAAAATTTTTTTCAAATTTTGGGGCTAGATACCCAGAAGAGGGATTCCTGGGTCATATGGTAGCTGTGTTCTTAACTTTCTTTTCTTTTCTTTTCTTTTCTTTCTTTCTTTCTTTCTTTCTTTCTTTCTTTCTTTCTTTCTTTCTTTCTTTCTTTCTTTCTTTCTTATTGGGGAACAGTGTGTTTTTCCAGGACCCATCAGCTCCAAGTCAAGTAGTTGTTTCAATCTAGTTGTGGAGGGTGCAGCTCAGTCGCCCATGTGGGGATTAAACCAGCAACCTTGGTGTTATGAGCACTGCACTCTAACCAACTGAGCTAACCAGCCACCCCTGTTCTTAATTTTTTGAGGAACCTCCATACTGTTTTCTATAGTGGCTGTACCAATTTACATTTTTACCAGCAGTGTATGAGGGTTCCTGTTACTCTCTATCATCTCCAACACTTGTTAGTTTTTCTCTTATTGATAATAGCCATTCTCATAGGTGTGAGGTGGTACCAAAAGATTTTTGGTTTCCAGGTAGCATATACACTATCAAATCAGCTGAGATATAAGAACATGCCTACTACATTGCCAGGTACATGAAAGGTCTTTACTCATTCATTCATTTATCTTCCTGTGTTCTTCTGTCTCTCCCTACCTCAATATCACTTTCCTTCTATTCTTGTCCTTCCTTTCCTTTTGCCCTTTTCCTCTCCTTCTTCTTACCCCTAATCTTTTCCTCACATACACAATTTGCCCTATGTCTATCCTGCCATCAATTCTGTGACATCAGTGAGGTGTCCTGCAATTCAATTTCATTCTGAGACTAGTTACCTGAAGTTAGCATCAACTTCCACAGGTTTAAGGGCTCCAGCATACAAGACTACACCCACATCAGATGTACCCTGCAAGTTCCAAGTGTCTCCAAGACACTCACACTTCCGCCCAGCTGGATACCAATTGAGGTCTACCTACAATCCCCTCAGGCTCAAGAGCTCAATAAATGAACTCATGGGAACTCAGGAAACACTCTACTTCAGATTACAATTTTATTGTAAAGAATACAACTCAAGAACAGCCAAATGCTGAAGGCACACATGCAACAAGGTCTGGGAGGGAAATGCAGAGCTTTAAAACCTCTCCTTGTGAAATCTGGGCACCCTCCCAGCACATCAATATGCTCACCAACCAAGTGTAGCTGAGCCAGAGGTTTTATTAGGGCTTCATTATGCAGGCATGAATGATGAAACCATTGGTCACCTGATTGAACTGTCTCCAGGCCCTTTCTCCAACCCAAAAGTCAGGCTAGTGCAAAGTTCTAATTCTGCAATCATGCTGTTAGTCTTTCAGGTTGACCAGCCACTATCATATCTAGGGGTCCACCAGGACTCACCACATTAGAGTAACAAAGTCCCAAGAACCAGAACAAAACCCAAATCTATTTTTGATTACATTTTACCTCATTTCTCCTTTAGAATTAGCCCATTCATTTTCCATTGGGAGGCTGAGTAAGAAGTGAATAAGGGCCTAATGCCTCTCCCTGCTCCAGTAGGAGAAGTGGATAGTGGATGTCTGCTTACCTGAGAGATGGGAATAAAGGCTGAATCCTCCTCAAATGTCTCCTCCTCATCTGAGTAGTGGCTGGGGAAGAAGATGTTTAAATCTTCACCACAGTGAAGTCATGAATGACCGAGCTTGGGTAAAGTATACCTTGGGGTTGAGAAAAGAGCTTAGGGTAGTTACACTGAGTCTCTCTCTAAAGGAAAGCCTGGGAGAAATGCTCAGTGTACTTTAGGGAGCAAAAGAATTTCTCAATGAAATAAACACCTTCATTCCAAGTTTTTCTAGTCCTAACAAGTCTCTCCTTGGGGATGAGTGATTCCTAAAACCGGGACTTTCGGAGACAATGAGGCACTTCAACAGGGTGAGGTTACAGGGCCTCTGAATATGAAGAATAGCAGCTTCGCTTCAGATTTTTCTTTTTTTCCTGAGTGGTCAAGTGCTTGTGGGTGAGCTGGACAATCACCTTGTAAATCTCTTCCTGTGCTTCTGCTGGATGACATAAGTCTCAGGGAACCTCACTGACAAGGGGCGTGCGTCTTTCCAAGAAACGCTCAGAAAAGCTGGTGAGTCTGGGAAAATTGGTAATGAAGGGTTGAGTCATGTCCATTCTATACTGAATCAATTAAATCAAAAGCCACATCTCAGACATCAATTTAATGAGACTATTAATTATCAAGTGAATAAAAGTCCTAACTAGACATTCCTTTGATTTTTAATTCCAGTTTCTTTTGGTGAACATACATTGTGATGGAGTAGGGCAAACATGAGGAGTCTAGAAGCCTGAGGTCCATGTTTTGCCCATCCATTCATCTTTTTTTTTTTAGACATTGAAGACACCTCTCCTCTTAGATCTTAGTCTCCTAATGTCTGAGATGTGGGGTTGCACTAGATAAAATTTTCCAAAATCAGCAGTAGTTTATGATTTACTCACCTCCCAAAGTTAACTAAGAGTCAAGTGTGATGATGACTTCAAAAGTGCTTTGTAAACAGTAAAGCAAATTGTAGATGGCCAATTGCTTGGAAAAGGATTTTGCAGTGCTGTGTGACCAAAAACATTTGCTCACAATAAGCTCCCCACCCCTTCTTATCGACAATCATTGCCATTCAGCTCTCTCCTTGTAGCGCTGTCTGCCATTATCTTAGTTATTTTCTTTTCTACTTGAGGTGAGTTCCAATGGGGCAGAATGTCTCACTGGTTTATTGCCTAATCCCAACCTCAGCACCCTGCCTGCCCCACCATAGGCACTCGGTAAAGCAGTTATCAAATGAATCCCAGAGGACTTTGTAAACACCCTTCAAGTGCTTTGGAAATGTTTAAGTCAACAAGTGCTGTTCTATTTTGATGCGTTTCTGTGGGTAGAAGTAAAGCCCTTGTGAAAGGCAATTCTCTGTGAACACTACAAAAGAATTAATAAAATATGTACTTTGTAATATGACAAATCACTTTATCATAATGCACTCTGCCAAAGCATTTTGTAAACAGAAAAAAACGTTGTAAGTTATGAAATGCTTTGTTGAACCACACTGTTTATAAGTCTTCATCTTGGATACCATCTAAAATCTTTGTACAAAGTGTTCTATAAACAACAAGGAGTGCTGTATAACACAGAATACTCTGTAAACAGAAAAAGAATTTGGCCAAGTGTTGTTTGATGAATTGTGAAATTATCTGTCCACAGTGAATTGTTTTGCAATTATAAACTGCCCTTAAATTATGAAACACTTTATAATGTGGAAAGGTAAATAAAATGCTATATGCTTTATAATAATCAAATTCTTGCAAGAGGCAAATTCTTTTACATAGTGTAAAGTACTGAGCACATTAAATAATGATTGTAAATAACAGCATGTTTGTCAATGGGAACCTGCTTTGTTAAGTATGTCATTTGTTAATTATAAAGTGTTACCTATTTCTACTCCCCTTGAATCGGGGTACGATTTCTAACCGCCTTGACCAACTGAATGCAGTGCAAGTGCCGCTCCATGACATCCAAGGAGAGGTCATAAAAGGCAGCACAGTTCCCCCCCTGGCTCTCTCTCAAGACACTGCTTCGCCCTCCACTCTTGATTCCCCACAAGATTGGTTCACGCAATCCACTGTCATCCCTATTGGAGAATCCCTTGACTGTCCCACTGGCTTCTCCCAAATGGCCTCAATTCCACACAGCACAACCATGGGCCAGAGCCCTTGACAAAGAACCAATGACATACTTTTCTCCTAAAGTTTTAGCGTAGTTTTCACAACTCTCTTTCTGGCTACCTTCTCCTGTTGAGCCTGAATGCTGCTGCTTGCATCCCCAATGGGGAAAAGTGGGAACGTTCTTCATCTTCATGTGGACCTCAAGCATGTCCCCTTCCCTCAGCTGTGAAGGTGTAGTCAGGCTGTGTAAGAACCTGTAACCTAAGTAAGCCCCTCACCCCACCCAAGGCCCCAGCCTCCCTTCTCCTGAGCACTGGGGCCTAGCATGCACTGCCTCTGCCTGGGGACGAGGCAGACAAGATGGAGCAAGGAGGGGAAGGGTTGCTTTGGCTCTTCGGCAGCCCTATCCCCACATTGATCCTCCCAGATATAGGAACCATCTTCCCTCCCACCCTTCACCATGAAACACCTCACTCCAGACATGCCTTGAATGGGCCACTCAGTATGGGACAGGAGGAAAACTGAGCATGGGTCTGTTGGGAAAGTCGCCTGTTTCCATGGCACCCCAACCTTCCTGACCTATGGGACAGTGACATCCACATCTAAGAGCCTAGACTGAGAAGTCACTGGGCTCAGGTTTGAGTCAGGCTCTGACCTAAGACCAGTGACAGCTCTCTGAGCCTCAAGTCAAAGAGAGGACTTACTTACTTATCAGTCACTTAAATAATACTTACTTGGTGCCAAGCACTGTTGTAGTCACTTTATTAATACTGTCTCATTTAATCTTCAGAATCACCTGTGGACCACTATCTTACACTATACACAAAAATTAAGTCAAAATGGAATAATGACTTGAACATAAGACCTGAAACCATAAAACTTTTAGAAGGAAACTTAAGTGTAAGAACCTTGACATCAGTATAGGTGATGATATTTTTAGTCTGACACTGAAAGCAAAAGCAACAAAAGCAAAAATAAACAAGTGGGACTACATCAAACTACGAAGCTTCTGTACATCAAAGGAAATCATTAACAAAATAAAGAACAATGTACTGAATGGAAGAAAATATTTGCTAATCATGAACCTGATAAGGGGCTAATGTCCAAAGTATATAAAGAACTCATATTACTCAATAACCAAAGAACAGACAACTGATTAAAAAATGGGCAGATCACAGCCATTTTTCCAAAGAGGACATACAGATGGTTAACAGGTACATAAAAAGATGCTCAATGTCATTAATCATCAGGGAAATGTAAATCAAAACCTTAATGAGATACTACCTCACACCTGTCAGAATGGCTATTATCAAAAAGACAACAAATAACAAGGTGGGCAAAGATGTGGAGAAAGCGGAATCCTCGTGCACTGCTGGTGGGATTGCGAATTGGTGCAGTCAATATGGAAAACAGTATGGAGGTTACTAAAAAAAATAAAAATAGAACTATCATAATGATCCAACAATTCCACTTCTGGGTATTTATCTGAGAACAACAAATACACCTATTCGAAAAGATATATGCATCCCCATGTTCATTGTAGCATTATTTACAATAGCCAACATATGGAATCAACCTAAGTGTCCATTGATAAATGAATGGATAAAGAAATTATGAATGAATGTCAACTTAATTTAATGTATATATATAATTACAGAATGTGGAATACAACATAGGGAATAGAGTCAATGGAGTTGTAGCAGCTTTACACAATATCAGAGGGGTAGTAGATTGGAGAAGGGGACTATCACTTTGTGAGGGATGTAAATGTCTAATCATTACATTGTTTTGTACACTTGAAAGTAATTTTTAAAAAAGAAGCAAAAATTATGATTCTGGAATATTTAGCAATAAAAAGAATGAAATCTTGCTATTTGTGACAACATGGATAGATCTTGAAGGCAATTTGCTAAGTGAAGTAAGTCCGGCAAAGAAAGACAAATATCATATGATCTTATATGTAGAATCTTGATTTTTTTAAAAATGGCAAAGCTCACAGATATAAAGAACAGATTTGTATTTGCCACAGGTGGTGGTGGAGGGGTGGGGGAAGGGATGAGGGGTGATGGAAATAAGTGAGTTGTTTTTAGTTTAAATACATTGAAAATAAAAAAAAAACAAAGGAAACCTTTATGCCCATTTATCCCTGAGTGAAAACTGAGAAAGGGTTAGTGACATCCGTGGGTAGTACATATCCCAAAGTGCTCCTCTGAGTTATTCAGATGTGTCTCTGCTCAGGATAAAAGAGGGAAGACTGTTTCCTCCCAAATCCCCATAAGAATGTCTTAAGAAACTTCTTGGATATGGTAGAGATAGATCTAAGCAATGTTCACTTAGCTCAATCCCATATTCTGGTGGAATTAAGATATTTGAAAACCAAACATGACTGCAAAAAAACAACAACAACAACAACAAAAGGTTCAGGTTTTTAAGCTCCAGGTTCCTCTCCTGTAATGCAACCCACAGGGTGTGCAGGTGTCACCTGTCCCCTTCATGTTACCCTGTGGGAACTGCAGCTCATGAAAATGGCACACAAAAAATGCCAAACCACTTTGGCTATTGTTATCACTATGAAGAATAGTCCTTTGTCACAAACAAACAAACAAACAAACAAACAAACAAACAAACAAGCAAACAAACAAACAAACAAACACCTCTGAAGAGCATCTAAGAGGAAGACATGGTACCATCCTTCCAGAGCCTCAGGTCAGAAAAAGGAGTCTAAAGGACACCTTCCTTCCATTACTTCAATGAAGAGTAAAACAAACCAGGGCCACCTGTACACAAATGCTCATAGCAGCTCTATTCACAATAGCCAAAGTGAGGAACCATCCCACATGCCAATCACCTGATGAAAGGATTTTTTTTTATTGTTAGTTTCAGGTGTACAGAACAATGCAATAGTTACCCTTTTCACCCTCACAAAGTAACAACCCCCCTCCCCCCATCC